TGGCTGGACAGTCACACTCAAAGAGTTGCAGTCAACGGCTCGATGTCCAAGTGGTGAGCAGTGACAAGTGGTGTTCCTCAGGGGTCGGTATTGGGACCGGTAGTCTTTGACATCTTTGTTAGCAACATGGGGGTGTTGGTTGATGAGAAGCTCATGGACCTGTTGGAGCAGGTCCAGAGGAGGGCTGCAAAGATGATCAGAGGTCTGGAGCACCTCTCCTATGAAGACAGGCTGAGACAGTTGGGGTTGTTCAGCCTGGAGAAGAGAAGACTCCGAGGAGACCTTATAGCAGCCTTCAGTATCTGAAGGGGGCCTACAAGAAAACTGGAGAGGGACTTTTTACAAGGGCATGTAGTGATAGGACGAGGAGTAATGGCTTTAAACTGGAAGAGGGGAGATTTAGAATAGATATTAGGAAAAAAAAATTCTCTATGGGGGTGGTGAGACACTGGAAGAAGTTGCCCAGGGAAGTTGTGGAGGCCCCATCCCTGGAAGTGTTCAAGACCATGTTGGATGGGAGCAATCTGGTCTAGTGGAAGGTGTCCCTGTCCATGGCAGGGGGGTTGGAACTAGGTGATCTTTAAGGTCGCTTCCAATCTAAACCATTCTATGATTCTATGCCTATAGTCTTGTAATCAGTTTCACTTTAGATCCAGCATCCTGACCATCTGGCATTCAACCATGTGCATCAATCTCTGGAAAAGGAACAAGCTTATATATTAAATTCTGAGGGTGCTTCGTGTTCAGGCTGCCTAACAGCTGCAATAATTTAATCTGGTCAACTCATTCACCTTTGAATAAGTGGTAAAACACTCCCTGATATTTAAGTGCTAGGCAAAGTAAAGGTCACACCATTTCTTCTTTATACCTTTTTATTTCCCTGTTTTTTTCCTGCCTCTTTTCCCCAATCCCTACCCACACGATTTAACCCTAACTGTATACATGATATAAAATTATTGCTATACTCCCTTCTACCTTCTGTCCAAGGTTTAGGGGTCATGGCAGCTATATGTCCAGGTACTCCTGGAGCTGGTCCTGGGCCAGCTGTAGGAACACTCATTGCATGTGACCCAGTACCTAGAATTTAACAAAGGAAAGAAAATTATTAAAATATAAAACATTGCTACACATTAAAAAATCCCTCTGCATTCCAATATGCTAGTCTATTTATGCAAATAAGCTTTGTGCATAAATAGAGATTTAAGTGGATTCCACTGTGCAAAAAATTAATGTAATGAGGTATATTAAGATCACCTCTTTTAAAATACTTGATGACAAAGCCACATGCATTGAAATTAAGTGAACAGTTATTCAAAATATTTTTTAAAAGATAATAGGATCATCATTTACTCTCAACTTCTAAAGCTAAATAATAGATTACAGAAATCATTAACTCTTTAAAATAATCAGCATATTTTTTATCTCTTCTTGAAGCTAATTTTGTGCCCAACATAATTTGTATCGTATAGATTATGATATCACACACAGAGAATTATTATTTCAAGTGAGTAATAAACAGCAGGAAGAGAATTATTTTTAAAAATAAAGATCACATTTTCATAGCCCTTGTTTAAAAAAATGCACAAAATGGAAAAGAAAAAAGAAATACATAAAGGATATTTAAAACTGCCTTAAAGTAAACTGGAATTTTTTTCCCTGTGGGAAAAAGTCCTAAAAGATCTGAAGTTGAAAATAATGAAGAGTCAAAAAATATGCACATAATACTGTTATTAAGATACCAAAGTGGGATCTATATAATATCCACATGGCTAGATAAACCATTTCTTTATTTTCTTGAATTTGTGGAGGAGGGAAAAAGTGAAAGACAATCATCATACAAATTAATGAACTTAGAAACAAAACCAAACTTCAACAACAGAAAACTCCCCTCCTTTCCCTCCCCATTAAATTGATCTTAGGATTGGACTTATTCAGAAAACATAACAGGTGCAAGCTGTTTAAAGTAACACATCTGTTTAAGACCAAAATAAGTTTGTGTACTGCATTACTGCATTATAACATCTATTATTATTATGAGAAACTCTTTTCCCTGTGTTATGCACTTGACAGCATACTGCATATAGTTTCCGTTTTCATGATCTGCATAATCATTCAACTTCTAGATTTTATATCTGTTTTCCTGCATGGCAACAGGGGAGTGAAAAAGCATTCTAAGAAAAGCAATAAAATATAATTGGCAAATTGTGACAAACATTTGCAAAAGTGGCAGGCATAATAAGGACAGACAGTATATAAATTTTATCTCTATTTTTAAAAATAATTAGTATCCTATTAATGAGGTGCTTTATGCACTTACTCCAACTTAAAACCATAGGTCATTGTTCATATAGATATCTGCAAATGGTTCCAAATTATATGCCTGCACACCAACAATTTCTGTTATTTTCCACAGGTAGAATTTAAAGAAATATCTTGCCAATGACATGGTGCCTACATTCACTTACTCGATTGCCTACTATAGGCAGCAGGAACCTGTTGCTGCTGAATGCCAGGCAGGGTCCTCTTTCCTTGAACTGCAAGTTGGAGGTTTTCCGGTAAAGACTGACCTCTAGCTAACATTTTGTATGCTAGAATCTGAGCTCGGAGCTGATGTAGCTGTACAGGACTGAAAGGGGAAGGACCTCTGTTGGGTTGACTCATAACTTGTGGGTCTCCTGGTATCACGGGTCCTGGCTGACTTGGAGTCATCTGGGGTGGAGTTGGACCTCGTCCAGACATTGGACTGGGCGCATGTTCTGGTGCTCCCAGTGGAGATGGGTGTGGAGACATGTAGCCTGGAGCAGATAAGAGGTTCAAAGACTTATTTTCCAGGTTAATCAAGTCTAAACTCCACTGAAGTTTCTTTACCTTAAACAGTATCTGAAGTATAAAAAATTCTCTCTCACATCAGTAGAGCTGTAATATTTTCTACAAGAACAGAAGTATGATCTGAAATTCCCTGAGACAGCAAGGCTACAAGAGCTACTATTTAAACAGAATAATTAACTCCCCTCACATTTGGGGTAAACCAAACTAAAACTAAATTGCACGTGAAATACAGCAATCAAATGGTATGATAGGGCACTGGTTCACCTGTATGTTGAATGAATATTTCATTATAGAATGTTTTCAAATATGTTTGCCTATTTTACAGATTATAAAAACAGTATTATTTTTAATTTTTATATTTTTATTTTAATGTGCATACATCAAAGCACCTATTCAATGAAACATAACCTTTATGCTAATACTCTGCAACATACAAATATAAAAACAGACAATATCTAATTAATATTTTTATATAGTTCCTCAAGCTTATGTGGATTAAAGCTTTTAGTCTGAGAAACAACATCCACTACCTTTTACCATCCGGGTGCTGGAAAACCCAGAGTATCAACTTTGAACACAAAAACTATTTTCTGAAGAAGCTGGTGGTACCTCTGCGATAACATATTTAAGAAATGGGAAAAAAAGACTACACAGCAGCTGTGAGAGGAGTGAGAAAAATGCGAGAGAAACAACTCTGCAGACACCAAGGTCAGTGAAGAAGGAACGGGAGGAGGTGCTCCAGGCACTGAAGCAGACAGAGATTCCCCTGCAGCCTGTGGAGGACCACAGTGGAGCAGATATCCACCCTGCAGCCCATGGAGGACCCCACGCCAGAGCAGGTGGATGGCGCCCTGAAGGAGGCTGTGATCTCATGGAGAGCCTGTGCTGGAGCAGGCTCCTGGCAGAAACTGCAGCCCATGGAGAGGAGCCCATGAAGGAGCAGGTTTTCTGGCAGGAACTGTGGCCTGAGTGGGACGCATGCTGGAGCAACCTGTTCCTGAAGGACTGCACCCTGTAGAAAGGATCTATGCTGGAGCAATTCTTGAAGAACTGCAGCCTGTGGGAAGGACCCACATTGGAGAAGTTTGTGAAGGACTGTCTCCTGTGGGAGGCAACCCATGCTGGAGCAGGGGAAGACCGTGAGAAGGAAGGAACAGCAGAGAAAAAGCTTTATGTACTGACTGCATCCCACATTCCCCATCCCTCATGTGCCACTCAGTGGTGGAAGAGGAGGTAGAAGAGCCAGGAGTGAAGTTGAGCCTGGGAAAAAGACGGAAGGGGTGGGGGGAAGGTGTTTTTGTTTCTCACTATCCTATTCTATTTTTAATTGGAAATAAATTAAATTAGTCTTCCCCAAGTTGAGTCTGGTTTGCCCGTGACAGTAATCGGTGAGTGATCTCCCTGTCCTCATCTCGACCAGTAAGTATTTTTCATCTTATTTTCTCTCCATCTTCCTGAGGAGGGTGAGTGAGAGAGCGGCTGGGTGGACACATGGAGTCCAGCCAAGGTTGACCCACCACACAGGATGAGCACAACTATGAAGGGAACAGAACTCATCTTATTACAATCCTAGTTTTTTGGTGGGTTTAGGTTTGAATTTTAATTGCACTTCACAGATATTACCCTGGGCTTCATAACATATCCATGAAAATAGACAATATGGGTATGCTTTTTAAGTGAGATATTGAAGACTCCAAAGCATATCCAAGACAAAAAAAAAATCTTAAGACTTATCCTTTAGGTTATGCACTACAGTTAGATTTTACAGATATGTGAGACAGAGATTTGCAGAAGAAAAATAATATCTGTACTGGGTCTGTCTGGGATGGAGTTAATTTTCTTCATAGCAGCCTGTATGGTGCCGTGTGGGGACTGAGGCAAAAGACGGGTTAAGTGTGGTAGAACTAATAGGGATGAATAAGCAGCTGCAGCACTGTTTTGGCAGATGATGAAGTTGTGTGAAGCTACTCCCTAGATAAGGAGGTGCTGCTTACAGGGAAGAGAAATTCCATTTTCGGTGTGAACATGATCTTTTTGAGCACGCGATGGTGTAAACAAGTAAAGTAGAAAATTACTGGCCTTGGTAGAAAAGTATATAAAGAGCAAGCTTGCTTAATAAAGGTGATTTCGATCCTGCATGTCGGAGTCCGTGTCTTTCCGTCCGCCACAGTTTTGGATTTGTGACTAAACCACTGTTGATAACGCACCAATGTTTTGGCTGTTGCTGAACAGTGCTTGCATAGTGTCAAGTCCTTCTCTGTTTCTCACTCCACCCTCCTCAGGGAGTAGGCTGGGGGTGCATGTCCTGGTTTGAGGTAAAAAAAGAACCATTTTTCTGTTCAGAAATGTTACTTTGCAGCTAAGCCTTTTCTAAATACTGAAATTAACAGCATATTGTGCAGAAACTGTTTGCTCTCAGACTGATAAGACCCGTGTTTATAGTTGATGCCAAGGAATGCTATGCAGAGAGGACCTTGCTTATACTTATTGCTATAACAACCAAGGCCAACCAATTTTGTTATTTGCCCTGTTGGAGGGTCAGAAGCGGAAAAGCATAGAGGGGTCCCACCTGCGAGGAGGAGCAGACAGGACAGGTGACCCAAAACTAATCAACAGGGTATTCCGTCCCATCTGCCTCATGCTCAGTATAAAGGGTGAGGGATCAAAGGGTCAGCCCTCTCCTTCTTCAATGGCCAACGTCTGAGGAGGACTCTGTTCGTCTGCCTTTGATCCCAATCCTGAATGCAGATCCAGAATCCAGTTCCCTCCGTCACTGAGTCCAGCCTGGGACTTCCCCAGTGCCTGTCAGTGTTGTGATTGTCATCCTGGGAGCTTGATACGTTTTGTATTTATTTCATTAATTTCTTTTTATTTTATTATTGATATTTCATTAAAGTAGTTTAGTTCCTTCTAAACTCATAAGTCTCTTTGTCTCCCCTCTCCTTGAAGAGAGAGGTGGGGGACACCATCTGTCGTTCCATCTCAGTGGCCAGTCCGGCCCAAACCACAACAGTGCACAAGAAGTTGGGAGGGGACACAGCCAAGACAGATGACCTGAACTGGCCAAAGGGATATTCAATGCCATACAACATCATGGTCAGCAGTAAAAAACAATGGGGAAGTCTATCCAAAGTAGCTGTTGCTTGGACACTGGCTGGGCATCAGTCTGCTTGTGGGAGTTGGTGAGTGATTGCCTTTGTATCACTTGGTGGGTTTTTTTCTCTTTCCTTCACTTATTAAACTGTATTTATCTCAACTGACAAGTAATTTCTTCCTTTTGGCCTTCTTATTCTCTCCCCCATGCTGCTAGGGGAGAAGGGGGGAGTGAGGAATCAGCTGGTGGGTGCTTAGTTTCTGGCCGAGGTCAACCCACCACAGTATCAATCTGATGAGCCTTACAAAACAAATCTCCTAGCTCCCTTTCACAGTCTTTGACTAAGTTATAGGTCACAGAACTCAAAATTTCATGCAGACTTCCCTGAGTTCTGTGGAATCAAATCTACTCCTGTGATTCCCTGGCTGATCTGACATTCTGAACTGAAACTATGCCAACTTTATCTATACCTAGTCCTGGTCACAGTAAGAAGCAATTTTACTCCTTCCTTTCACTGTTTTTCCAATAAGGGCTGCATAGGGGAACTCTACAAATTTTGACTGGTGTGATGCTAGTAGCTGTAAATTCAGAATTCATACAAGCTGAGACATGAAAGTGCTAAAGAACTGAAAGTTAATGAAAGGTGGGATCTGAGGATACTAATACCCTAAAGTGAAGTACACATTAAAAATAATTGAGAGAAAGAATAAAGAAAAAAGAACAGAAGAATTGGGGTTGGTTATGTTTTGGTTTGTTTTTCAAAAATAGGAAAAGGAAATGGAAGGACAGGACAGAAAAAGTTTTAGTTGGGAAAAGATCGGATAAGACAGAAAGAGACTGAGAATTCAGTTTTATAGCTAAAGAGCAAAAAGATAAGAAAAGAAGACCCTGTTGAAAATAAGAAAAAATAAGGAACCTAAGGGAAAGATAGGAAGAAAAAGTTGAGGAAAGAATGAAAAGAAGAATAAGAGACATTAAGGGTAAAAAGATAATATTACTGAGGTTATTCAATAGAAAGACTAATATCAAAATTGCTTATACATATATGCATAAATATATTACTGGTGATAAAAGCCATGATAAATATCATACAGATCATACCGTTTATTGCATTTATTACTCTCCATCCACCAAAGGTGTCAGGACTGAGACTACTAACTACTCTGAAAAATAATTCTTTCTTTATTAAGAAAAGGGGGGGGTAAAATCCCACTTACTGAAGACACTGCTTTAAATGAATACATTATGGTATTAAAAAAGCACATAGTTGCTGTATTGACTTATGCTTTGAAATTTTGGTTTCTTATTTATTGCATTTTTCCATTATTGTTACATTTCCAAATCTCACAATTTCTTTTAAATAGCAGCTACTTTGAATTAAGCTGTTTTCAAAACTGTCTGCCAAAGAAAGATTTCACAGAATCACAGAATCACAGAATCTTCAGAGTTGGAAGGGACCTCTAGAGATCATCTAGTCCAACTCCCCTGCTAAAGCAGGATTGCCTAGAGCACATTACTCAGGACTGCATCCAGGCGGGTTTTGAAAATCTCCAGAGAAGGAGACTCCACAACCTCCCTGGGCAGCCTGTGCCAGTGCTCTGTCACCCCAACTG